TAACCATTTATACAGGCAACTTGTTTCCTGTTCAGTTGTTCAGAAGATATAACGGATGAGTCTTTCAAAAAGGTTTGTGTGAAACAAAGTAGATCAGTATCACAATCCAATATATTGAGAGATTATTTACTTTAGATTTAAGACCACGTATGTTTTGATATATGACTTTTAAGACTTATTTATAGTTTTTTTTTTTTTTTTTTGGTTGATTATTTCTATACTTTATCATTATATCAGTTTCGCCTTTAGATATCCTGTTGTAGTCACGTTGTGCCTTAGTCAAGTCGAGTTTGAAATGTCTTTTATTGAGATGACCTTAATTGGACCGTAGTATACTTCTGGCAAGCCCCATATTTAAAAGTCGCAACCGACGATTATAATTTGGCCGACAAGTACCAATGCGGATGACTTATTGGTGGAGAAAACGATCTTAACGGACTTAGTATAGTCATGGCTTGTTGGAGGTCATCATTAATCTTCTCTGTATAAGACCTAGCTGTAAATTCGGGGGTGTTGAAAAGAATAACGTTCAAGCTAAAGTTTTGCACTCTTGAATTTCCGAAACGACATTATTAATATCTCGAGCAGAAGAAACTGAGTCAAGTTGGCATTTTTTTAGCTTATCAATTTCAAGTTGAGATGAACTAACATTTGACTCTATCACAGTTAATCTAGTCAGTATAGTTTCCAGGTGATTATCGATAGATCGTTTAATTTCATTTTGCACGACATTTTTCAAGTCATTTATTTCGTTCTGGAATGATCGAACATTGACTTCAACAACAGTTAATCCGTTAAATATGCCCTGGAAGTTACTATCAATTGACTTTTTTAGTTCCATTTGCATAACACTCAATTGAGCTTTCATTATCTCCTCAAATTTTCCAACAGAAATATCATTTGCACTCGAACGCGAAGAGCACTTGCTTGAGAATTATCCACGAACGCAGCATCAGACAAATTTAAACATTTATTATTTGTGTCGGGAGGACATTTTTCTTTTTTGATTAAGTTTATCGATTTAATCAAAGAAATGAAAGATACTTCCATTTCCTACCCTAACTTTTTGATCACTTGTTACTACTGTAATGGAGTGAGTAAGCTTGAATTCTTTAGTCAGCAAATGCTTGTCCATTACAAGGAACTAGGTCATCAATAATGTATAAAAGTGTAAGTGATATGTAAAATCAGTTAGTGATAAGTCGGGGGTTGTAGTGGTGGTATGGGTAAATAAATGCATAATAACTATGTCGTGGTGTTATTAACCAACCACCGTCGTGGCTTAAAGAGAGGACATCACACTACAGCGTATCTAGCCTATGTTAAACGATTTAAAGAGTCGTTTAACTAATCTTTATATTACATCAACAGGAAATACCTGTTTCTGATAATATGCTATGTACAACATTTAGCTGTTTTTCTATATTGTGGGTGATAAATAAGGAACAGATGTTGTTTAATTAGAATAAAAAAATTGGTCTAAAGAGTTTAGACAGTACTTCCCTCGCTGTCGGAAACTTGACGACTGCATGGCTATTGTGTTTTTTTCTCATTACATTTTTGTAGTGGGAATTTAAAATTGCGATGACGTCATCAACATTTTTGCAAGGACACATATATCAGTTGGGATAGATGTAGTGTAATACTAAGAATAAAATTATTGTATTCCCAAATTTTCGGGAAAATGAATTGGGTCGTTTTGAATATTGATTTTTTTATAATCAATAAAATAACGAAACAATTTACTCACGTATACGGCAACTGAAAATCGTTTATGTGTAAACATTCTTAATTTAAGATGACAAGCGTAACAGCATACGTGAGAGTCAAACAAAGAAACTGTAAACAAAACGACCATCGGTTTTATTGCTTCGACTTCCGCTTATTATATAAAACATTGGGTTTTATTTTAATTCTTGATGGTGAAATTCAGAATTGGTTGATTATAAACATGTCTATTTCACATTCGCGGAACCAAGTGAACAAATGCAGGTCTGTAATGTTAAAGTCGATGTAAATAAGCGTGCTACCCTTATGTTTCAACCAGGTTTTTCCTTTAACAAATTTTGTGTCTACCAAATTGGGTTGGTTGGGGTGTAATACTAATAATAAGTGTTGCCTTTAATTTAATCAATAAAATAAATTGACTTCATTAATTTTTTTGAACCACCTCTTAAGAAAATCTAAAAAATATGAATGGAATGATAAATTACAAGTACAAACTCATCATATTTTTAGCATTTTAGATAGGATTTATTCAGCAAAATTTAAGGGTGACGTCATCAATTTTTTTAGGAGGGATGAACAAATACATTTTGAACAAAAGTTTACCATGCTTATAATAACTTTAAAATATTCCCAAGATTTCAAAGCATTCGGTCTTGTAATTCCTGATTAAATCGATAAAATAAATTCACGCCTTCATTAATTTTTTTGAGTCACCCTGCATATGCAAAACCAAAAATATGAATGGAATGATAAATCACAAGTACAGACTCATCATATTTTGTACATTTTAGATACGATTTATTCGGCAAACTTTTGAGCTGACGTCATCAGTTTTTTGTAGAAGATAACCAAATATATTTTGACTAAAAATTTATTATGCTCTTTATAACCTTAAAACATCTGCAAGATTTCAAAGCATTCGGTTTTGTAGTTCCTGATTAAATCAATAAAATAAATTTACGCATTCATTAATTTTTTTGAGTCACCCTGTATATGCAAATCGAAAAAATTTGAATGGAATGATAAATCACAAGAAGAGACTCACCATATTTTGTACATTTTAGATAGGATTTTTTCAGCAAAATTTTGTGGTGACATCATAAATTTTTTAGGGGGGACGACCAAATACGTTTTGATCAAAAATGTACCATGCTTATGATAATTTTAAAATATCTTCAAGATTTCGAAGCATTCGGTTTTGTAGTTTCTGAGTAAATCAGTAAAATAAATTTACGCTTTCATTTATTTTCTTGAATCACCCTGTATATGCAAATCCAAAAAATATGAATGGAGTGATAGATCACAAGTACAGACTGATCATATTTTGTACATTTTAGATATGATTTATTCGGCAAATTTTCGAGCTGACGTCATCAAGTTTTTGGAGGGGATAAGCAAATATATTTTGACTAAACATTTATTATGCTCTTTATAACCTTAAAACATCTGCAAGATGTCAGAGCATTCCGTTTTGTAGTTCCTGATTAAATCAATAAAATATATTTACGCATTCATTAATTTTTTTGAGTCACTCTGTATATGCAAATCCAAAAAATATGAATGGAGTGATAAATGACAAGTACAGGCTCATCATATTTTGTACATTTTAGATATGATTTATTCGGCAAACTTTCGAGCTGACGTCATCAAGTTTTTGGAGGGGATAAGCAAATATATTTTGACTAAACATTTATTATGCTCTTTATGACCTTAAAACATCTGCAAGATTTCAGAGCATTCGGTTTTGTAGTTCCTGATTAAATCAATAAAATATATTTAGGCATTCATTAATTTTTTTGAGTCACCCTGTATATGCAAGTCCAAAAAATATGAATGGAGTGATAGATCACAAGTACAGGCTCATCATATTTTGTACATTTTAGATATGATTTATTCCACAAACTTTTGAGCTGACGTCATCAAGTTTTTGGAGGGGATAAGCAAATATATTTTGACTAAACATTTATTATGCTTTTTATGACCTTAAAACATCTGCAAGATTTCAGAGCATTCGGTTTTGTAGTTCCTGATTAAATCAATAAAATATATTTACGCATTCATTAATTTTTTTGAGTCACCCTGTATATGCAAATCCAAAAAATATGAATCGAGTGATAGATCACAAGTACAGACTCATCATATTTTGTACATTTTAGATATGATTTATTCCACAAACTTTTGAGCTGACGTCATCAAGTTTTTGGAGGGGATAAGCAAATATTTTTTGACTAAAGATTTATGATGCTCTTTATAGCCTTAAAACATCTGCAACATTTCAAAGCATTCTGGTTAGCAGATTAAAAATTAAATTTTAAAATGTTGTTTTATAATTTTGATTTTTTTTCCAAAAATCTGGACGTTTCGGGTGAAAAGTCGATTCAGAGTTGTAAACTACATGTGTAGGACTATGTTATTTTATACAATTGAAAACCCATTTACTATGTACAATTTTGAAGTGACGTCATCGCATTAGTGGTGGGGATGATTAGACAAATTTTGGCTAGCGTTTTACCATCTACATGATATTCTTAATATAAGTACAAAATTTCACAACAATCGGTCGAGTACTTTCGGAGATTATCTGTCTAATAAAATCCGGGACAACAGACGGACAGACGGACAGACGGACGGACAGACAGACGGAAATGGGAGACCTATTTCTTCGTCTTCTAGGGGTCATGAAAGATCGAGAAAACGTAAAAGTAGAGAGTCGGCCGACGGACTCGATTACAATACTTCCTTCGCTTACGCTCGAGAAGTAAAAAGGAAAAGTTTGAAAGCGTATAACAAAAATCGACTAATACAATCCTTTTCCATTTATAAAATTTTTGTTTTTATTTTTCTACAAGATTCCTGGATATTAGCAGGCCCATCATTGTGAGAAATTATCCAAAATTAATTAGTATTGTCTGTTTTAAAAGAGTACACTTAATTTTAGTTAACCTTTTTAAAGCAACTGTGAATTAAAGGAACCCACCTATTTAAAATTATATTAACTTAAAGAAGATGAAAAATTATTTTGTAAAATATTTAACAACAAAAATAAAAATATCCTTTGTTACTGCAAAACGAAATGAACATACCGGAAATATATAATTGAAAATTGACGAATAAAAATACTAAATTCATCATTTATTGTCTAACGATATGTGTTATCTTTAAAAAAATAATTCTCAGAATGCATGATTAAACATTAATGCAAGATTTTATCATACAATACAAAATATCTGTAAAATTTAATGAAAACTAGTCCCTGATAAAGTAACGTACAATAGTATAAATAGCGGGCTAGTAATCTTTCTTGTTAGCTTTATTTAAGCGAATTATTAGAAAATAACTAATCATGAAGAACGTAATCATCGTCTCATTTCTGCTCGCAATGGCATGTCAATTGCAGGTATGTAATTTTATTATTTTCTTAATAATATACATTTGTCATCAAATCTCACACCATGTAATTTTATTAAAATTTGGGAAAAAATCGATTTTACGCAATCTTTTTAGAAACCGTTGGGAACATTACCTGAAACGTTGGCAATGGTTAAATATAAAAACAAGAGAAACCGCGATAATTTTTTTAAATTAAAATCTGCTGGCAACTCGTCTTTCAGTTTTCTGTTCCTGACTCTGCAACTACTAATAAATAATGATTTCTCTCCATGTAGATGTTAACAACAGCAGTGGCTCAAGATAGCATGTGGGATCAAGCCGACACATTACTAAACCAATATCGACAAAATGTCAACGAAGGCTTCAGCAGTGCTCTTATAAACAACTACACAGCTTTGGCTCAAACGGCTGATTCTCTAATTGCAGCAGCCATTACCAGCGGTAATTCAGAAATCGTCAGTACACTGGAGAAAGCCTTGTCCGAATACAGATCAATCAAACAAGCAGCTGAAGACGCGAGAATCGATATTACCATTTGCGTTAACAACTTCGAACAATTAATTGTCGACGTCCGCAGAGAAAATTCAGTAGGTTTGAATGAATGCGTACAGAATCTTATAGAGCCAATTGTGACATATATATCCAAGGCTAGTACTGGACTATTGGGACTTTATTTAGGTGATGTATACCAAAAAGAAAAATTGGTCCTGAATTGTGGACCATTGGATGATAACTGTCTAAGTAATATGGTGTACGCTCTCGTTAAGGTAAGTGGTCGTGTTCCGAGTGAAATTGCGAACACCGTAGCAAGAGATGTGGGCCAGTTTGCCATGTACAAAAGTCAAATCAACGCTTGTAGAACAAAATATGTCTCTAGCAGTGACGCAAAATGGAACCAACTGGTTGGAGATTTTAGAAGCTGCGTAGAAGCTCAATCATAATAAATTGGAACTATTTTATTTTGTACGACAGTTGTTAAATATTTGTACATGATATTTAATAGAATACATAAATAAAGCAATAATAACACACTAAGATACATCCTGAAATTATAATTTTTATCAATTAAAATGGGGATAGTGTATCCTATGGCTGTTAAGAAAAATTATTCTCAGAAATGTTTTCTGAGTAAAAAATATCCACAAAGCATAGTTGTGGAAAAACTGAAGCTATAAAGATTGTCCTAAATGTATGTGTGGGTTTTAGAAATTAAGTGAGATATTTTGGTAGATATGGAAGACAATCTTTTCTTGTAAATAAGTAAAAATTTTCCCAATAAACTTTTTAAACAAGTCTCTCGTTTCTCACTAATTCAACCTTAACGCTTTTGTTAAAGACATCTGTATCTAAAAAGTTCTGGATGATTTCACTAAAGTTACTAGATTGTCCACACTTTACAATTTCTCTCCTTGCCGTTTACCTACACCCGAACCACACCTTTAGCTGGATCCAAAAATTCGACCAGTTGTCTCAAAATTAAGAGAACATTAAATTGTCTTATTAATCAAATGTAACTATAGTTCTTGTTGTAAGTATTGACCATTCGATGGATTCACTAGGTTTTAGTTTTGTGAATTTGGCATCAGCTGTGTTTAGTCCTTTTCCTGCCAGGCTAATACAGCGCATGTGCGTAGTTGCTATTTCAGAATTTTGAACAGGAACGTTTATTACTTCAACTAAAGGATACATTCGCACCGCATTTTCTAAAGTACCTAATAACAAAATGAATTTGCAATTAAACCATCAACCTTCATAATATGTTTGTGCAATCAGATTAAAGATTTTTTAATTTTAATTGAACCATAAATAATTGTCATTTGTTGACAACGCTATTGTGATGTAATCAATCAAGATTATGTTCTAATGTAAAATTATAAAAATTATGTTCGGTTAATTACTTCATTCATTAATTGTTTTGAGATATTTGTAGCTCCACCGATAAACAAGTGTAGACAAGGAAAGTTTATGGAGCAAACAAACACAACTATATACAATAATTTTATGCATAGGTCTGCAAAATTTCAGAATATTTGTTTCTGTAGTTTCTAAGTTCAGTTCATTTTTTTTTTAATTATTTTCCATTATTTTCCAAAAACCTTTATATCTAGGATGAAAATGAACGGTGATTTAATAAATGAATCATCAGATAAATAACACGATATTCATAAAGTATGGGAGTTAAGTATAATACCTAAGATTTCACAACTATCAGATCGAAAATACGAGGATTAACTGTTTAATAAAAATTGCCAAATGATCTTTATTCAATATCTTAATGTTCAGCACAGCTAAAAACAAACAAAGTGAACAAAAATAGAGAAACGAAAAAAATGACAGATGACAAGGCTAGAAAAAAGCATTCTTAAGACCTATTTCTTCTTGTAAAAAAGTTACTTATGTTTCTCTTTGGTTTTAATATAATCTAATATCTTAAAAGTAATCCTCAAGTTTTTATTAAGATTATTAAAAGATTAATCTTGTCAGCCTTTTTTTTGTTATTTATCACAAATCAAAAACATTATTTCGTAAAGCCGTAAACCAAACTTATTAGCGTTAAAATAGAATGACACAAGTGACACATGTCAATTTGAATATTCACTTAACATTATAACTAAGTGACACTAGATTGTTACAAGAGTGAATTCTTGCTAAACACACGTCTGCATATAGCCACAGAAAAATTTCTTGAAAATGTTGACACAAATGTTGTTTCTTTGTTACTAAGTTTTGTCTGCAACTTTATTTATTTCTCTGTTACTGTCAGTCATAAATTTATTTTTTTTTGTCAATTGAAAATGAAATAAATATCTACATATTGTATATCATTGTAACTGCAATTTCACTGTCTACTGGAGTAAGTTAAAAAATATATACATTGCAATTTAAAAAAGTATAGGGTTATAATTATATCAAACCTATTTGTTATGTACTCAATTAAGCATCCCACTTCAAGCTTATACAATGGTGTTTACAGAATTTCAATGTCTCTATCCGCTCTCAAGATATTAGGCCGCGGAAGTATACCATACCAAAAAATTTTGCAATAACAGAATAAAAGAATCAAAACCAAATTACAAATCAAATGGAATCTCATCATACCACTAATCTTTTTTACTGTTCTATGAATATTCCCGCTTTTACCATATCTACATATAACTTGTTTCCCCGACTCCACAAAATATATTGTTACGAAATACATTCTTAGCCCGTCTCGGTACGACGCCAATGGCCGTCGAGAGCTTTCTGAACGTATGCACGGCGTTGATCCGTGAATCATTATTGCTGGCTATGTCGACGCGGCGTTCCACAAAGGCAAGTCTGTAGCGGTTTACCGGAAGCTCGATGGCGGGCCCAGAAAACTCTCGATGCGGCGTTCTGGATCCGTGGGGAACAGGGGCATTCAGTCGAACGACGAGTCTAGAGAGTGTTAAGAAGAGCCAGTCAAATTGCACCATAAATAGTTTGTAGGTACTGTTACGGCACCCTTTGTGCCGACCGACCTATGCTCTGGTGGAGATGGGGTATACAAAAAAAAAACGGTAACTTTCTTACATCTAATGTGACCGGAAGTACAAATGGACGCGACACAGCGCCCTTCAAATCACAGATTACCAAACTACACTTTAACATAACATGGATACAGTGGGTCGCAACACAGCGCCCTTCTCGATACAAATTACCACAATACAGTGTTGTTTCCTCCCTCCTTTGTATGCAAGTCCTGCGGGAGGATTCGTGGGGGGGGGGGGGGAAATCTGGCACGGCGGCTCCTCTCGTCTTCGGGACGCCCCTTGTCGGCTCAGTGGGACGAGTCGGGAGGTGCGGAGGCCTGAGGGATTCTTACGGCCTCCCAATGAGGTTTTTCGTTCTTCTTCCAAAAAGAAATGAGTAACACGCCACGTCGAGGAGGAAAAAAGTTGTAAAAAAAGAAAAAAAGAAACCGAAAACGTTGGCTGTCTGTGGCAAAGGAAAACCTGGTTTATACGGGATCTCGCAAGGGTGACTTACTTACGGCTCTCTCTCTCACTCACTCTCACCCCCGGTGTAACTTTTCCGGGCTGTCGCTCCCCAAAAGTTACAACCCTTTATTTTGTGCGTCACCCGCCGACCGTTACTCGATTCTGTTTGAACACGATCCCGTCGGATGAGTTGCGGAAATTCCCGATTAGGCGACCAATCGCGTTATCCCTGCTCCAAACGCCACTCGTTCACCGCAGTCTCTCACTTGCGCCTGACTCGCTGTTATCTAGGCAACCCCTTATTTTCGAATCGTAACAGTACATAATCGCTGTAATAGTTAGTCGTGTATATTCGAGTTAGTAAGGAATAAATTGTTGAGTTTTACCCACGCAAATTTTCAGTCACCCGTACAACGTAACAATATATTTTTTTCCATTACTTCATGCCATATTTTCGAAAAAACCCCTATAACAGGACGTGCAATTTATTTTTCCAATAATTGTGATGGTAACACCAATGCGTTCTTTCTTCAGCTTAACAGCTACAATATCAGCATCATTAGTTTAAAAATAAATGTTCAGAACGAACAGCACGTCAAAACATGCAGAATTGTCTCAGATTAGGAAAAGGAGACGTTTGTGTCAATTTTATGCATTCTGGCGTTCGTAGATACAAGAAAATTGTTAAAATTCTTCAGAAACGTCACTTTTGAAGTGTTTTCTTGTAGTTTTAAGCCAATTAGGAACCCTACGGGCTCGGAAAGAGTAACGAAACCATCAAATTTTAGCTAGAAACAGTATTTTTGTCGATTTTTATTAAATATGAACTATATTTCAACATTTTTTGATGATTCTGAGCGACGAAACACACTTAAAGCATGCAGAATCGTCTCAGATTAGGAAAAGAAGACGTTTGTGCCAATTTTATGCATTCTGGCGTTCGTAGATACAAGAAAATTGTTAAAATTCTTCAGAAACAACACTTTTGAAGTGTTTTCTTGTAGTTTTAAGCCAATTAGGAACCCTAAGGGCTCAGAAAGAGCAACGAAACCATCAAATTTTAGCTAGAAACAGTATTTTTGTCGATTTTTATTAAATATGAACTATATTTCAACATTTTTTGATGATTCTGAGCAACGAAACACACTTAAAGCATGCAGGATCGTCTCAGATTAGGAAAAGGAGACGTTTGTGTCAATTTTATGCATTCCGGCGTTCGTAGACACAAGAAAATTGTTAAAATTCTTCAGAAACGTCACTTTTGAAGTGTTTTCTTGTAGTTTTAAGCCAATTAGGAACCCGACGGGCTCGGAAAGAGCAACGAAACCATCAAATTTTAGCTAGAAACAGTATTTTTGTCGATTTTTATTAAATATGAACTATATTTCAACATTTTTTTATGATTCTGAGCGACGAAACACACTTAAAGCATACAGAATCGTCTCAGATTAGGAAAAGGAGACGTTTGTGTCAATTTTATGCATTCTGGCGTTCGTAGATACAAGAAAATTGTTAAAATTCTTCAGAAACGTCACTTTTGAAGTGTTTTCTTGTAGTTTTAAGCCAATTAGGAACCCGACGGGCTCGGAAAGAGCAACGAAACCATCAAATTTTAGCTAGAAACAGTATTTTTGTCGATTTTTATTAAACATGAACTATATTTCAACATTGTTTGATGATTCTGAGCGACGAAACACACTTAAAGCATGCAGAATCGTCTCAGATTAGGAAAAGGAGACGTTTGTGTCAATTTTAGGCATTCTGGCGTTCGTAGATACAGGAAAATTGTTAAAATTCTTCAGAAACGTCACTTTTGAAGTGTTTTCTTGTAGTTTTAAGCCAATTAGGAACCCAACGGACTCGGAAAGGGCAACGAAACCATCAAATTTTAGCTAGAAACAGTATTTTTGTCGATTTTTATTAAATATGAACCATATTTCAACATTTTTTGTCTCTTTGAGATACTATACTGTTTTATCTAATTATTTGAATTAAACATCTAGAACTTCCTCCTGGATCAATGGTTTGCTATTTAAACTGTGGACAAAAGGATTCTTGGTCAGACAATGACTCCTCAACTTCAACTGCACATTTATACTTTTCTGACTTACGTAAAATGAGTAGGTGGAGGGACATCCTTCACCATACCAAATTCCTAACATCTGGGTATAGTTTTCTACTGTATTTTTACAGATTTCTGGATTAAAGGTCCAAGTTCAACACTTAGGATCTTTGGATTTGCGACGATTGGTTTGTTGGATATTTCTCTGTTTACCGTAATCTGTACATCTGCAGTATTTTGGTTCCCACTTCTGTTTTTTTTTTTTAAGTAATCAGTGTTAAACATAACAACGCTTCTTCCTGGTGATAATATCATACATCTAGTGGTATCCATATTACAGTGTTCTTTAAAAAGGTGTTTTACTTCAATTTGCTTTGCGTGATTGGTTTTTAAATAATAAAAATCGTTTAAAAGTGTCGAAAAAAATATTTTAACATAAAATTCTCTCGCATTTATAAAATTTATATATCGGTTTTTCTTTAAGGTTTATGAGTATGTACATCTTCGTAACGAATTATATTAATTAAAATCAATGCTGTTGAAAAGAAGAAGAAATAGAGTGGTAACCATATTTAGATATGGAGGGCAAATCGTAATTTAGTGTTGATACAAGAATACTTAAAATCTTATTGTTTGTTTAATTGTTTATTGTTAGTTTTTTTAGAATGATACGAATTTGATAATATTTAAAGAAGGTAAAAACTATTTTCGAAATTGTTTCAACGTAAACTGATAGTATTGTTTGTCGTGACAATAAGGAATAATACCTTTGTTAATAAAAAATCATATCAACAGAACGGAAGCCTATAATTCAAAATAGTATTAAAAATACTAAATTCATCATTTAATGTCAAATGATATTATGTTATATTAAGCAAAATAATTAATTTTAAGAATATGATTAAAATTTTAAACAAGATTGCATCAATCAACACAAAGCAGCAGTAAAATTAATGAAAATTTGTCCTAGATAAACAAATGAACAATAGTATAAATATCGGATTAGTAGCAATCTTCCTTACTTAGATATTTATCAGTGAACGAGAATACAACTCAGCATGATGAAAAAAAGTATTGTTTTACTTCTACTCGCAGTGGCCTATGCATCTCAGGTATGTAATTTTATGATTATGCTTCAACCATTTATGCTATCTATTACCAGTTGAAAGAGCATGTTTGAATATTGTACTAATGCCAGATTATCTTATTAAAGGAAAAAACTTTGATTATTAATGTAAATTTTCTGTACTTGCCTCTACAACTATTAAATGTGATTTTCTCTTTATGTAGAACTCAGCAATTGCCGCACCTAGTGATAGTCTGTGGGATCAAGCCAAAGCATCAGTAAACGAATATCGCGGAAAAGTAAATAATGCCCTAAGCAGTGCTCTTATAAATGGTTACACAAGTTTGTCTCAAAAGGCTGATTCACTAATTGAATCAATCATTTTGAATGGTACTGCTGTAATCAGCGGTGCATATAATGAATATATGTCCGAGTACCAATCAGTCAAGCAAGCAGCTGAAGATGCAGGAACCGATGTCACTGATTGTATTAACACATATGAGGAATTAATCACAAATGTGGGCCCAGAAAACTTAGATGGCTTGGTCCAATGCGTGCAGGATCTTGTCGAACCAGTTGTAAGCTACATATCCGGCGCTAGCAACAATCTAGTGCAACGCTACTCAAGTACGGTATATCAACACGAAAAAAGTCTCCTCACCTGTGGACCATCCAATGATAACTGTTTGAGTAATATTGTGTACAGCCTCATCAAAGTAAATGTTGAGGGTCAAATTGCAAATGACCTGACGAGAGATGTGAGTTTGTTTGGCAGCAATGAAAATCGGCTCAATGTTTGTGGACAAAAATATGTCTCCATCAACGAAGGGAAAGGAAACTCTTTGGTTGAAGCTTTTAGAAGCTGCGTAGAAGCCCAATCAGGATAAATTGGAAACTATCATTTTGTGGAACTAATGTAAATAAGATATATAAATAAACACACTAGCAACAATGAAGCAATATTTATTATTGTATAAGAATAGAAATCGGTAGAAATCAAAAACCATTATACAATGTGTGTTTAATATTATCGTTAATATAATGTTTACTTTGTAATAATAACAAATTTTTATTTTTTTCATGAAATACTTATCATGTATTTAAAACATGTATGATTAATGACTTAAAACAAAAAGATCAGTATTTCAGATATTGTTAATAAACTTACACATAACAGAAAACGTAATCTTCAGATAAACAATACAAGAGGGACTCTCTAACTCATCTTCACTTAACTAAATATTTTGCACTGCTTCTAGTGTAAGACTCTTATCTGGTTTGTTCTACTACCATAGGGAACACGTCTGATCACCAAGTTTACCACTTGGCAATCTGTGTTTCAAACATTTAAGCACCCGAAAGGCGGGAATTGTCGAAAGTTCTGCAGAATTCTACTCTTTACTGTACGGAAATGAGTTTTGCTACATTTTACATACTGTTCCAATTGCAGTAGTTCTCTTTGCCTACCCAAGTCTGACTACAAAAGCAATCTTACAGCTACACAATCAAATAAAATTTTCTATATATTTAAAAATTTCAATTGCTATAATTTGAAATTTTAAAATGTAACATGAAACTTCCAACTGTCTAACCTTAAAGTACCTATGTAATATAACAAGTGCAAACCACCGCACCTTCGGATAGATTATTTTCGTTTTTTTATTAGAGACAGTCGTCGCATTTTTCTGATGGGAATTTTTCCAGAAAACGGAGATGTCATTTCTGAATAATGGTTTATTATGCCGTCCCATCTCATTACCCAGAATTCCTAAATTATCCTGCAATATACATCCGCACCATAAAAAGTTCCTTAAAACTCCCATGGACCGAGCACGGTTTCGGTGTGATGCGCTTTATACAATGTGACCAGCAATACCGTGGAATCCCGTTGTTTAGAGATATAAAATTGAAACGTTCTTGATCGAAAGCCATTAAGCACCAGATATGTCAGTTTTTCACGGGGAATTTATTCGTAGAGATATATGTTTTTCCTTGATTGTAGGTTTGATAATATAATTAGTGTACATAGCAGAAAAGAGCTTTAGTTTCGACCGGATAGTTTGTCTCTCTTCCGGATTTTTAGAGGTGTGTTTTATATTGCCGCCTCGAGCCTGGCCAGCAAGTTCCGAAGTGGGACAGTTTTTATTAGGGTTTAGCATAAGAAATTCTCCCCGTTGTCAATGGCCGTATAGTACCTCTGTAAACTATGGATATTTATATGTTTGTAAGCCTATTGTACGGGAAGGACCACCCGCTCCAAATCATTGCTCTCTTTTTAGGCCGAACTGTGGGAAAAAAGTTCCTGAGAGAAACCACCCCCGAAAGGAGGTGATTGGCCAAGAAGTACCTCCTCTAATCAGGAAGGTACAACTTGGCTGCAAAATTTTCTCACAAAATTTAGTTACTCTTTCGAGTTTGAATAGTTTTTTGCATTTTTAGTGTAGAGTTTAACATTGTGTTAACTTCCTTCTTTTTACTTTAATCAAAATTGTTAGTTTTCCTGTGGTTTAAGGTTGTTTTTTTTTTGGTTTGTTAATATAGGATTTCGTAACGTGTGCGAGAAAATAAAGAAGGCTGGTCGAAACTACTCAGTAGTTTTCTTCCTTTCTTTGGCAACCCCCCCTTTGCGGTTCTCGGACTCAAAGGTAGTGAAATCTGTGACCTGGTGTTAACGCCGGGAAAAACATTATTTTTCTTCAAAAAAAGGTAAGAGCAATCTATGGTTTTGTTTATACACATATCAATATTGTTGGGATCCACACCGGTCTGGCTAAACCGGGTTACAGTAATATAATAACATTTATTTAGCTTCTTCTTTGCGGTTGGTACACTCCCCCCAAAAATTATCGCACCACCTCCAGTTCTAGCGAACCGGACTACATGTGGTTACCATATACGTAGTAGTGATAAATGTGTGCACGATAATGCCAAAAAATGACAATATTTAAAAAATATACATATTCTGGGCCTGCTTTGGAGACTGTCTTAATGCAGGTACATAAGTTTATAAGCGTTAATTAAATTAATATCGTGTATTTCCACCCCTGGCTTGAATAACGGCTTCCATCCGTCGCTGCATTTGTTCGTAAAAGTGCACAATATTGTCTTGAGGAATATTTTCCCATTCTTCCATAAGAACTGCTTCTAGCTGTTGGAGAGTTGTAAAAGCAATTCTACGGCCCGCAACACGACATTGCAGATCATCCCACACATGTTCGATGGGATTCATATCAGGGCTTCGAGCTGGCTGTTCCATAACAGGCGTATCTGTTTCTCTGAAATAAGCTTGTACAACGCGCGCTATGCGCGGCCGAGCGTTATCATGCATATAAACAAAATTTGGACCAATAAATGGTCCGTATGGAATGACATGTGGTTCCAAAATGTCTGTTATGTAACGTACAGCCACCAAACGAGCTCCAGGTAATGGTACTAAGTATGTACGACCTTGCAAAGATATGCCAGCCCAAACCATAATGGAACCTCCACCGAACTGTACACTTGGTTGAAGTTACATTGAAAATACCGCACCCCAGGGCTTCTATACACCGGTATTCGTCTGTCATTTGAGCAAAGAGAGAATCTAGACTCATCAGAGAACATCACATTTTCCCAATCTTCAATTCCCCAATTCACATGCTTCCCTGCGAATTCTAGCCGGGCTACTCGGTGAGCTCTGGTGAGTAATGGTCCTTTTGCAGGAACACGAGCTAGAAGATTATCTTCGCGAAGACGATTTCTTACTGTCTCTACAGAAATATCCACATCTCGAGCACCAAACAACTCGATTTGAAGTAATCGATCAGTGCAATGCCTCGTACGGAGCGCTGTTAAGTGCAAAAAGCGATCATCCCATGGCGAAGTCACCCTTCGACGACCTTGTCCTGGTCTTCTGGCAACACTTCCTGTTTCATGGTACTTTTGTGCAAGTCTAATTATTGTGGAATGATTAACTCCTAAAACTCTTGCTACGTATCGTTGACTACGACCATCTTCCAACAGAGTCAATGCTCGTGCAACTTCGTCGTGGCTCAAATGCAAGGTTAAGCGTTGAGGGACCTCCATAATGTCGAATATGTATGACAGTAGCGCTAGATGTCTACATAAATCCTTTGCAAATCAAAAGGACGAAATTCGTATATGTGCATATTTATCCGAAGAACTAGAAACCATCGTTTTAATCCTCATATTGGTTTTTGTTCTGGCAAATAAATAAATAAAAATATGTTTGGATATGATTTGGCCCCATATGTGTCTTCTACAAATTTTCAAATTGGAAATAACCAAAATTTTGAGGGTGGTGTGATAATTTTTGGGGGGAGTGTATATACAACTTCAGTGGATTGCCGATATCGGCATCATATCCACTCTCGTTGTACAATATATTATACAAAGGCAGTATTTCCAACCACTGTTGGAAAATAGGTGAGAGCTATTGTTTCCAGTGATTTCCAATTGCTTTATTTAGTTTACTTAATGGCGCTAGCTATAATATGAATGGAGCAAACCGGTGCTATCTTTAAACTATTAACTATACTAGCTATTCGTTGTAGTTAAGTTATATGCAAGAGCTAGCGTTAACCTTCCCTCCTTCGAGAAAAACCTATGACTAGAGAGCGGATTTCTAGGTTTAACGCTTTTTGTGAAAAATGTAAGCACTTCAAAACTTTTTTATATCTGTAACTATGATACAATTTGGAGTCATTTGACACATTTTTTTTTTTATGCTTATTTGCTTTTTTTCATTTTTATGCATATTAAAACTTATATGTTTATTTAATGCTTTTTTCAACGAATATGAGTTTTAATGCATATTTTGTTCAAATGCCGGCCTTGTCGGGATGACAAATACTTGTTAGTTAGCCGTATCGTATCGTATGCATTTTACTTGGACTTGACCATTGAAGTACACTTACTCAAGACCCTTTCTGTGAATAGGTTCCGGTCGTTTGGGTAATAAAATTTTATTATAGGATTGGAAAAATACTCCATAGATTTTATGACTTTAAATCCTTACTTCCGTTGATAATGAATTAAAGCTTTTAACCAGATGTTCTTTTTCGGTATTTTGCGGCAAGACCGTTGAAGATTTTCTAGAAAAAAGGATTACTGTACCCAACTACCTACCTTAAAATTTTTCTAATGGAAACTTTTAAGTAAATGAACCGTTTATTTCACAACCATCAGTCTATCGCATCTGTCGTAGTACAGTGTTATACGTGGTTCTCCCTTGTTACATGTTGAGTTCTTTTTGGTAATATTACTAATATTTTAAAAGAATGCCGAAAGTAAAATCGACGCCGGATGAGTGGATAAGGGATTTTCCAGAATTAAAATTAGAAAACAACAAAATATTCTGCAAAGCTTGTGTGAAAACCGTAAGCCCACTAATTTTTTTTTTATCTATTTGCCTTTGTCAATCTTGTATATGTACGTTGTTTTAGATTCAAAGTGATAAAAAATATAACGTGACGCAACATGTCAGAACGACTCTTCATGTAGAAAGGAAGAAAATGTTTGAAGTTTCTAAAATTAAACAGCAGACCATACATGAATCTGTTGCATCTACTTCCACAAAAGATGAGCAGTTTCAGTTTAATTTCGATTTATGTAAAATGATGATCCAGTCCAATATACCTTTAAAAAAATTGGAGAAAGGACCTCTTCAAGAATTCCTTGTAAAACACTGCAATCGACATATTCCGGTTGAAAGTACTCTCCGAAAAAATTATGTAGGCCTAGTGTTTCAGCAAGTTTACAACGAAATTACACATCACATTGGAGATAATTATTTATGGTTCGCTGTCGATGAAACAACCGATAGTTGTGGAAGATACGTGGCAAGTTTAATTGTTGGAATCTTAAATGAAAATTTCCCTAGTCGAGGGTATGTAGTAAGTTTGAAAATGTTAGATAAAACAAATGGCAATATGATTACCAGATTTGTAAATGACAGTCTTACGTCAATATTTTTGCCAAATGCCGTAACGACGAATCAAATTTTATTGATGATCTCGGATGCAGCTCGTTATATGTGGAAAGCAGGGAATAATCTAAAAATATTGTACCCCAATTTAATTCACTCTACTTGCATTGCCCACGGTTTAAACAGAGTGGCTGAAGGAATACGTTTGCAGTTTCCTACTGTTAATAAATTAGTGGCAAAGGGTAAAAAGATTTTTGTTAAAGCCCCACTAAGAGTGCAACATTTTAAGGAAAAATTTCCAAACATACCATAGCCCCCAGAGCCGATTAGTTATAACGAGGTGGGAAACATGGTTACAGGTCACATTTTATTATGACAAATATATCAAAGAATTTGAGGAAGTAGTTACAGAGTTTAGGGAAGATTCTTCTGAATGGATTAAAGATTGCATAAATATTTTGGAAAACAAAGATTTGCGACAAGATCTAGCTTTTCTAAGAAGCAATTATCAATTCGTATGTGAGGTAATAGAAAAGTTAGAAAAACCCAACATGTTGTTGGTAGATGCCATAAACTTAGTGAAAGAATTTAAAGAACAAGCAAACGCAGTAAGGGGTGATATTGGTACTAGAGTAACTCAAAAACTTGACGAAGTGTTAAATAAAAATGCAGGTTTCGGTGTTCTTTCCGACGTTGCTCGTGTTTTATAAGGCCAGAAGGTGGAAAATTTGGAGTTAGATTCAACATTAGTTGCAAAATTCAAATCTGCGCCAACAACGAGTGTGGATGTTGAACGCACATTCTCCAATTTTAAACACATTTTAAATGATCGGCGAAAAAATTTTGCAGTGGACAACTTGGAACATATTACAATCATAAATCGTTTTAAAGAAAACTGAAATACGTGTGTAAAATATAAAGTCTAGGATTATTGTAATAATATTTTATCCAAAGTTCTAAGAAGTGTTCTTTGATTTGTAATATGATTATGTTTTTAATGCTTTTTTGCTTAAAATAAAACTTTTTTATTGAAAATGTTGTGCTTATTTAAGCGCTTATTCTTAATTTTTTTGTGCTTACAAATCCGCTCTCTACCTATGACTTTATGTGAAAAAAAGAGTTTATAATCCGTCTTGTAAGAGACCTGAGAAAATATCATCCATATGCCCTCTGATTTAAATGGAACAAACGAGTTAATTGCCCATTTCAGCTTCTCTGGGGTGACTTTAGACAAAAATTGCCCCCCAAGAAGTAGTGTCAGCTTAGCAGACGCGTTCTTAGTAAAGACCTTCTGAAGTCTTGCTACTTTGTGGAAAATTGTCTATCTTCCCATCAAAGTCCTTCCAATGGTTTGTTTTGATGCTTCGAATTACAGATTATAGAGCTCCCAAAAAATGGATGACTTGTCAGTTCGAGCCCTATCCCAGAGCCTCCTTGCAGTGTGTCTGAACTTACTGAGGTACGAGTAAGGGTTCAGCATGGACCACGAGAGTTGCGTGTTGGACAACTCTCCTTGTAAAACTCGACAATTGCCTCATGTATCAAGGTGGTCATTTTTCCACTCCTTTTACACGCCAGACTTTATTTGGCAGCCCTAAGACCCTTTTCGCTGCAGTTTCCTTGAAGGAGTCCCTACTTGTCGCTCTTGAATCTCTATGCTCCCGTTCTGAATTTTCATTATTTTGAATTCTAAAGACTGGCTGGAACTCAGTTCTTTCGGTACCTGAATTCATGAGCCAACTCTATTGAGCTCAAGGTGATGTCGATAATCTCTTCCTTCACTCAAGTGGCGAGGGTAGGTTTGTTAATTTTATACTTTTATGAAAAAAGGACTTGTATTACTTTTTAATTAGTTGTTGCTTATATTTTTAAATGAAGTTATTTAGGATTGTTAATTATTATTATTATTTGAATAAAACTTTACGTTATATTTTTGTAAATTTATTTTGTTTTTCCTAGAAAAAATACATTGATAGTAGATATTTCAAACAATTTTCAGGAAAAGACAGAGGTATAATGATAATTGTCATCGTTTTTTGTTATTAAAAGACACCACAAAAATTCTCGAGTAATGGAAAACTCATGTTTTGTAGCGCTTAAGATTAGAATGATTTTAAAATTTCAAATTTCACGCGGATGGTACACTTTTCTTCGCGTAGATTTAGTGACTTTTCTGTCACTCAATCTCTCACCATACGTAGTGTATCCATAGTTATTTTTCCAATTTCTACTAATAAAATGCTGATTTTGTATGTTATATCTCGCTATTAAAACAATAGTTTAATCGAAAGGATGAATAAAATGTTTATAGCAAGACTGTTCAAGTTATTTACTTGCAACTTTTTTGGGCCAAAAAATAATTTTTATACAGGGAAATATCATAATCAAAAAGTCAAAATTTTCTAATGTCCTATTTTAAACAGAACCTTGCTGTTCTTTCAAAACCCAAGTATATGAAGAAACGGTCACACCTTGTGCAAACTAGACCATAATCACCAAATAAGAAATCATCCAAGTACCAATCTAAAACAAATAATAGCAGACACTTTTTTTACCAAAAACGTCTAAAATGTTAAAAAAATTACCACAAATAGATTTGATGGATCAACCGTAAACATACCAAATACTTGGACACACACATCACTTCTATCAATTAAGAGATAACATTCCATTAACTGTAATAAAACAAAAATTAGAAGTTTAAACATATAATGAACATTAAATTTAACTTACCTGAATAGGTCTATGTTTATTAACACCACAGTTCAAACGTGTGAGATGAGGTGCTAAATTTTTAATGATGTTGATCTAAAAAAAAAAACGTTTATTCCTGTATGACAAAACTTCAAGCCACTCACTTTAAGTTGAATCTGGTAGTGTGCCAAAACTACAGCTACTATTTCGGTCAGTTTCATAATGAATAAGTTATACAAACGCAGGTGCTCAGGAAATTCAAACTCTTCTTTCACCAGAAGGTACAAGTTATTTGTTAAAGTCGCGGATGTAATTAGAAACAATGAACAAATTTGTAAAGAGAATTTTGATATTAACGACTTGACGATCTTATTCAATGTTATAAAACAGTTAGCGTAAGCTTTAACCACTGTTAAATTCTCCATATTCATGTAAATTAGAGACTTCGCAGTTAGAATTTTATTTAGAAAAGAAACCAAAAGCGAGTACCTTACCCTCAGCAGACACAAAGTAACAACCATGAAAAAACACGAGTAATAACATGAGAGAAAAGGAATAAACAGTGAGAACCAGTGAGCAAAAGATACGTTCTCTTCTATAATAACGTCGTAAACACAATCAAAAACAGCTACATATAAAAAGAATAAAATAGAAGCCGCAAAGGAAACATGAAAATATTTTTTGATCTTGTTAATGTTCAGCACAAAACCATAATTTGTTAAGTTTTCATCGAAGAGTAATAAGCGTTTGAAATATTTTTGAATTTTTTTAGAATATAGCCAGTTAGAAAGTATATTTGCCAAAAACAAAGCGGCATAAACAGCGAGTCGTAAATTCAGCATAGTTTTGTTCACAGTTTCAAGACTTGTTGAGTCCACGTCGTCGAATCTAAAGCGTAAAATTATTACGTACGCTAAAATTAAAATTACGTTGTACATTATAATCAGTTTTTTTAATTTATGTTCTGATTTGGCAGAATGCAGTCCGAAAATTTTTGAAATAGTAAAGATCCGGCTATGTAACTTTTGCATAGTATTAAACTGAATGCGAAATGGACGGAACAAATTACGCGACTATAATTTGATCTCTTTGATATAATGGCCTCTGTCGTTGCGTTAACACTTTAATACATTTTTAAAGAGTTGGAAAAGTTTAATACGAAAATCGAACAATAATAGGCGAAGGCGTTGGTGGTCGTTATTAATGCAATTTATCTAAGTAGAGCATGATAACTGATAACTATATAAGTAGCGTTTTTTATCCACTTGGGTCGTATTATATTTTCGTTGAGAAAGTTGAATAAAAAACTTTTTATTACCAATTAGAAATAAACTTTCTATGAGTAAAAATAAAATTATCAAAACTAAATTTTCTAATTTTTCCGATAAACTGTATTTGTTCGACTATACTTCGGAGATGAGAGAAGAAATAATTTTAGAACATTTGTTTTTTAATAAACTATGTAAAAAAGTTTTGCAAGAAAATTGTTGGCCACAAAATGTATTAGAAATAACTTTTTAATTTTTTCGTAAATGCTCAGACGGGTTTTAAATATTTCAAAAACTCAATGCCTCAAATGCGTATCGCTGGAAAATTATGAATTAAGATTGTGTAACATAATTTCTATAAACCAGCTGTTTAATTGTTGCATTCTGCTGCAATTTCCCAGAAGATTACGGTTAAACAAGTTATGGAATGATCGCTAAAGACAGTACAAAAAAACTCCCCATCGATAATTTTCCATTTAAGAAATAATAATTCTTTATGTAACCAAGAAGCTTCAAGTGTTTTTAAAGGACAAATTGTTTGCAGAAAATGTAGGTGAATGCGTGTAAATTGGATAGTTGTAAAAATTACTACGACGAAGTTTGTTTGTAGAATACGAAAAGGCTGGTTTTGTATTTCTGTCGATTTATGCATAGGCGACATACGTAAGTTAAAATTTTTTTAATGAAAAACCATTTACACCAATCTTCCTTCACCTTAAAGACGTAATGGATTAATTCCAGATACATCTCCAGGTTTTCTCAAAGTATAACGACAAATGAAATCTATTTTTAACAAAAACAAAAACCTTTATAATATTTGAAAAAAAAATTGTAGTGGTGTGAACTAAAGCAGCAATGACAGTTATTCCACATGATTCATGTTGTTCTCAAATTTTCAGAATTCTTAAAACGCAGCATGTATCCTTGCTCTTCGGTTACTATTTTTAATTAAAGCTAAATAAACATCCATGATTTCAGTTATATTTAGAAATAGTGTCATATTTTTTTCTATCGTTGCCACACTAGTTAGTATCACAGGTAAAACCACAAGAACTTACTTATGCACAATTTTGAATCAGAAACTTAGCGTCAACAATTTAGCATTTATCATTTTATCGCCTTGCGACACCTACTAATTTACCTGACCTTTTCTCGTACGAATACATACAGTAAACAATAATATATTTTTAGATTTACATTAAAACTGCATAAGTAGAAGTAGCGAAAAACCGCAAAACAACTACTACAGTTTAATAGTACTATTTCTATCGTCATAAAATATCTACACTTAACACAAACAGTCAAATTTAATTAACTGATAGTCATTTTACAATTACTCATTACACGTACTGTTTACTGTCTGTAGGTATGTTTTTGAAAAAATGTTGTCAAATAGGTTACTGAAAATCGGCCAGTGATGTAACACATTCAACCGTTTTAAAAATTTTTAAGTGAGCAGTTGCTACTGCACACTTCACTTACATATCACTAGAGAGCGGATTTTATGAAATTTGCATATCCGTTATTTTTTGCATGTAAGTCGTGATATTTAATATGTGAACGAATCATGCTAATTAAAAACGAATACAGCTATAAAAAAATTGCATATTTGCATATATTTGCCTTCTGCTGCATATTTCACGTAACGGGTGCATATTTTGCATTTTTATCAATTTTTGTGCTAATTTGAAAAAAAAAATGATGGTTATTCTATCGGCATGTATCTAGAAAGACGAAATTTCATGAATCATATTGCAAATATTGTCCTGATCTTCAAATATCTAGTAAAGGTTTGGGTTTTATGGTAGTTTGGAGAATCCATTGGGTGTTAAGCCATTTTTCCAGGTAAATTTGGGCCCTAATTACTTTTGGAAATACCGTTCATTCCCAATATTTTTGTTCGTTACTTAAGTGTATTAATGGTATGTGTTATGGTGGTTGAAGAGACGTTACCCTATTATTTTTCATCGTGAGTTTGCATTGAAAGCATTTAAAGCGATACATGTGTGTTAATATGTCGAAGATAACTCAAATTAATTTATGGATTAAACCTTTTCCTGAGCTTATTCTTCAAGAAGGAACTGTTTTGTCGCGTCTGCTCTAAACCGGTAAGGATTTTTATATCTGTGGACGTAGTACACAGTTTTTCTATTCCAAATATACTTTAGAATCATCGGAAAACTTTGGTTAGAATATTTCGAAAAATATTTAAAAATAAATTGTTACCAAAATAGTAATTAAATAGTCGATTACTACTAATTTTGTAATTTGTAATTAAATTTGTGGGAAAGCAGAGAAAAATGTTGTGCCTCGGTGGGATTCGAACCCACGTCTCCAAGCAATCCGGGCTGGTATGCTAACCGCTACACCACAAGACAACTTATCTTTACTCTGCTTTACCCGCGTGTTATTGTGCCGCCACAGTACTCCCCCCCCAGCGACACAGCGCGCGGTCGTGCTGGGGTGCGAAGGAGATAGTTGCTGGCGTCGCTCCTGCCACTCTTACGTTCGTCGTTCGAACCCTGGCGGTGCTGCGGACCCCGAACACAGCGGGCACAGGGCGGTGGCAGAAGGATGTTGCGTGCGCGTTGCCTGTCGGTGGTCACCAATGTGGGAAAGCAGAGAAAAATGTTGTGCCTCGGTGGGATTCGAACCCACGTCTCCAAGCAATCCGGGCTGGTATGCTAACCGCTACACCACAAGACAACTTATCTTTACTCTGCTTTACCCGCGTGTTATTGTGCCGCCACAAATTTAGTTCGGTTATTACGCTTTTTTTTAGTTTTTGGAGCATATGCAGCTGCATATCTCTGCATATATTAAGAAAGTTACTGCATATTTGCATAAATTTGGTGCATATCATATGATCATATTTCCCAAAATTTTGCTGCATATTTTCCGCTCTCGACATATCACGTTCCACCCAAAAGATGGTAATAAATGCCACTTTTCACCCTAAAATGTCAAAAATTATAATGGTTGCCAAATTATAAATATCAGTGTTTGCGCATAATTTTTTAAAGTTATTTAAAACAGTTGTTGATAAAATAATTAACACCACAGTTGAATGAGTTTACATTATGTCAAAATAACTTTCAGTGATAAAATTGAACTTCTAAATAACGTTACTTTATGTCAATAGTCCAAATTGTAATATCCACACATATTATACACGGAGAATAGTAGTGCTGATTAATCATTCTACAGCAACTTATTGAGAATATTTCGATATAGGGTAAATGTGTACAAGAGTGCGCATATGTATAAGAGTACGCACTGATGATTTCTGCTTATTAGTGCCATCTGGGTAAGATGAAGTTATACCATTCAGAATTTAATGTTAAACCTGAGATAAAGGTGCAAAAGTGACCTGAATATAGTTTATAGTTTGGTCGTACTGACGATTTTATGTTGACACGTTGTGTGGATGTAATTTTTACCGCTCATAGTTTTAGTTTTTTGTAAGGTACGTACCAGTTCTTTTATTTTACAGTAATAATTTTCATTAGTTGTAACTTTTAAGGTGTCGTTATACACTAACAGTTTTACACTTTCTGTCCATCAAAAGCTTTTAACTTTGAAAACATTAGGTTATGTACAAATGTACAAGAGTGCGCAGCGAGGTATTGTATAAGAGTGCGCATTGCTTGCAATACGTAGTCTAATAGTCTTGGAGATACATATCATACGATAATGAATTATTTAACTCTACTACTTTGTACTGCTTCTCAAGTTGTGTGGTGGTGGTTATGGTGATTTTTTTTTATCGAGTCCGTCGACCGACTCTCTATTTTTACGTTTTCTCGTCTTTTCAAGACCCCTAGAGTACGAAGAAATAGGTCTCCCGTTTT